CTTGGAACCAAGATCAGGGCACAAATTTATAGTTTATACATAATTTTAGAACCTACAGAATTTCAGTTTAGAGTTTAAGAAATCATACGCATGTTTGGAGGCTCCTCCAACTTGTCTCTGAACGTATTTCGCTATCGACCCAAGAGTAGGATTGAACCAATGTAGTCCACATGAAGATAACCCCAAGGAACTAAAGAAGGATTTGCTAGATCCTCTTTAGTCTTCGAGAACCAAGAACAAAATCAATGAAATTTTGTTTCAAGAAAAAATAAATCTGGCGTGGAAGAAAAGAGAAAAGGGGCTGGAATTTTACTTGTGAATGAAATGAATTTTCAATCTTTTATTTCACAAAAAAAAACCGCACTTATATAGTGCACATAATGCCCTATTCCCTCATGGAATAGGCTTGGGCACCAACCCAAACAGCCCCTTATGTCCAAAATAGCCCCATTTAGATATTTTAATAATTATTATTGTTATTTCAATTAAATTAAATTAATATATATATTTCATATATATTAACATTTAATAATAACAATAATTCATTTAAATATATACGAACACATATTTAAATATAATTTCACTTATTTAATTTTATTAACAAATTAAATAAAGGCTACGACTTCAGCAAATTTAATTGCACTGTGAAATTACCAAAATACCCTTTTGCCTAAAAAGACGAAAATGCCCTTCTTGTAAACTGGCTCTTAAATTATCTTATATGTGTGTGACCCGTAGGCTCCTCATCATACCGGTAGTGTGTAGTATCGCGATCAACACTAATTAATTGTCTCACTATACATAGACCAAGATTGACCCCTAGCAAGACATCATGGCCACTCGATAGATTCAGATTCAACGAAGCAGCTACCTGTCAATGATATGGTTACCGTACAATCCAATCATTTCATCATCCGTTATCTCGATGAGACCGGGGCATAGAAATAATGTCAACCTTGGTTACTCTTGATATTATGTATTCAGTTACTGGACCAATGACCTGTATTATAAACTGGATAGAGCAACAACTCAATCCCACTGTGGCCACAATTTTAGTGTCATTGCCATTTACTGACTTACGCTGTGAGATAACTTCTCCTGTACCTGGGAGTGATGAATCCACTGTCTATCCACCATAGTCTTGATACACTGCTTGATGCAGCCAATCACCACGGTATTGACAGCTCTGAATAGAACTGTGTTAGGCTAGTGTCAAACTACACCAATAGGTGCACAAGGCGCTCTAGTGATCTCAAGTCTAAGGATCACATGCACTACTATTCATTAGAGGATTTGTTCCATAGACACTGGGGTTACCATCCGTATGGAATCCTCTAGTGGGTCAGTCCAGTGAACTTGCCTACAGCAAGCACCCATATGTTGCACTAGGTTGTCACCAAACAACCTTGACAAGTGAGTCAGGCACTGCCTTTCGACAGGGTCGTTCAACACTATGATAGCCTTACCGTATTATCTGTGCCCCTACTTCAGAATAATACTAGGGCTATGGACGTTTCTAGAATGGCCACCATATGTGCTCATAGGGTTCTCACTATCAAGATTTGAAACACTTGATACCCTCGTTACGGTTCTACCATTGTAAGGACATTTATCAATACATACAATGATGATTTATGCGATATAGAATAAAATGCCTTTTATTAATCAATGAGCATTATTACAAAGAGTCAATTCTACAATAATTGATTGGCTCTAGGGCACCTACTCTAACACTTAATGCACATGAGACATCAATCCGAGTACACAATATGACATACATGATGGATCCAATTATTGATGCATCTAGATCCTCTTCATTCTATCTTTCTCATCGTGTGTTTAAGGACATATGTCCTTAGAGAGATAGACACCATGTGACATTGGAAGAAATCTCTTCTTGGATTCTTCCATACTAAATCTCTCTAGTACCTTGTATATATGTGCTCTGACTTAGACGAAGCAACCTACACGATCTATCATGGTAGATCTTTATTCCAAGGATATAGGCTGCTTCTCTTAAGTCCTTCATGGAGAAGCACTTGGATAACCAAATTTTTACCGACTACAAGTTTGGTATATCATTCCCGATGAGAAGTATGTCATTGGCATACAACACCAAGAATGTCATTGCGCTCCCACTTACTTTCTTGTAAACACAAGGCTTAACTTTGTTCTTGATGAAACCGAATTCTTTTACAGCTTCATCAAAACAAATGTTCCAACTCCTTGAAGCTTGCTTGAGTCCATAAATAGACCTTTGTAACTTGCATGTCTTATCAGCTTGTCCATCAAGAATGAAACCATCAGGTTGTGTCATATACATATCCTCCTCAAGGTTTTCATTCAGGAAAGTTGTTTTGACATCCATCTACTAAATCTCATAGTCATGATATGCAGCAATCACAAGCATAATCCAGATAGACTTAATCATGACAACCAACGAAAAGGTTTCTTCCTAGTAAATGCCATGAATTTGTTTGCAATCTTTGGCAACCAATCGTGCCTTATAGGTATGCATATTACCATCTATATTAGTCTTCTTCTTGAAGACCCGTTTACACTCTATGAGTTTTACCCCTTCAGTTTGATTTACTAAAGACCATACTTGGTTTTGGTACATGAAGTCCACCTCAAATTTCATGGCTTCAAGCTATTTAACAGAATCTGGATCTGATATAACATCATCATAGGTCCTAGGTTCATTGTCTTGGTAGACCAATATGTTGCCATGCTAAGTCATGAGAAAACCATATCTCTAGGGCTCATGGCATACTCTTCCAAACCTACGTAGCTCCTATGCTACTTGAGGTGGTTCACTTTGATCCATAAATTGTAGAGTAACCTCCTCACGATGTTCAACCACTTTTTATGGCACATCATCTCGTCCTTTCTCTAATGTATCTTACGGAACTAGAACTTTATTGAGTTATACTTTTCTCCCACTAGTACCTCTTAGAAGAAATTCATTCTATAAGAAGACACTAGTACGAGCAACAAAAACTTTGCACTCTTCTGGGTGGTAGAAATAATATCCTTTGGTTTCCTTAGGATACCTCACAAATATACATTTATTAGATTTCAAACCCAACTTGTTCGAAGTAAATATCTTGACATAAGCTTCGTAACCCAAATCTTCAGATAAGACAAATTTGGCATTTGCCCACTCCATAGTTCATATAGAGTCTTATCCACAGACTTTGACGACACATGGTTAAGTATGTGACTCTCAGTCTCTAAGGCATAACCCTAGAATGTGCGGGTAGATCACTAAAACTCATCATGGACCTAACCATATCAAGTAAGGTCATATTCCTCCTTTCAGACACACCATTATGTTCGGGTATATATGGAGGGGTGAGTTGTGAAACTATCCCACACTCCTTTAGGTATTCAGAAAACCTGGAGCTCAAGTATTCACCTCCTCGATCTGACCAAAGAGCTTTAATATTCTTGCCCAACATATTTTGTACTTCACTTTTGAATTCTTTGAATTTATCAAAGGCTTTAGATTTATGTCTCATAAGGTAGATATAAACATATCTAGGGGTGATCGGGTCCGGGTACCCTGGAATTTTTGGAAGAACTAGCACCGGAACCAGTCGGTTCCTGAAATTGGGAATCGGAACCAGAACCAACTTGTTTCGATTCCTCAATAGCTAGAACTGGAACCTTTGAAATAGTTTCTGGTTTTGGTTTTAGTTTCAGTTTCAGTTCCAGGTACCCTAGATAATTATATTGGTCCCTATTAGTTTATAAAATGACAAAAACACCTTTTAAATTTACAAATACACCCGCATTTGCTTACATATTCTTTAACTTTTCTCTTATTAATTAATTTAAATATTTCAAATAATTTTAATTAGTTACTGTAAAATTACTTAAAACCCCCCAATGTTGTATACTACTTTTCTAAACCCGATTCTTTTCCCGGTTCCTAATAGGGTACCCTATTCCAGGGTCCTAATAGGGTACCCCATTCCTGGTTCCTAGTAGGGTACCCTATTCCCAATTCCTAGCAGGGTACCCTATTCAAGGTTTTGGTTTCGATTCCTGTACCCGATTCCAGAAATAAAGGAACCGAAACTGGAATGTGGAGTCCTGGTTCTTATTTTTAGAATCGGAACTTACCCTGTGAGGGTCGGTTTTAGTTCCTACCTGGAATCGGGATCCTGGATACCCGATGGTTCTGATTAGAACCTATTTTCTTGCTCACTTCTAACCATATCTACTGAGGTCATTAGTAAATATGATGAAATACAAATATCCACATCTAGCTTCAATTGTTAGTGGACCACTTACACCACTATGGATGATGCCAAATAATTCAATAGCCCTTTCACTTTGTCTTGTGAAAGGAGACTTGGTCATCTTGCCTAAAAGGCATGACTCGATACCTCAAATGAATGAAAGTCAAAAGGGTCCAAAACTCTATCCCTTTAAAGTTTTGCAATGTAAGTCTGATTAACATGACCCAATCTACAATGCTAGAGGTATGTTTGGGTTTGATTGCTATGTTTAGCTTTCTTTGTTTCCACATTGAGAATATCCTTATTGTTTAAATCTAGAACATATAATCTGTTATATAACCTTGCATTTTCATATAGAATACCCTTCAAACTAAAGGACATCAATCCATTAGAAATTTCAAAATGATATGGCATATCATCCAAAGCGAATACTGATATAATGTTTCTTGAAATGGAAGGAACAAAATAACAATTATTAAATTTTAACAATAAGCCTGTAGACAATAACAAACAATAAGATCCTACAGCCAACGCAGTCATGTGTGCCCCATTTCTAGCTCCTAGGTCCACCTCTCCCTTGGTGATCAATCTACTCTAACTTAGTCCCTACACATCAATGCAAATGTGAGTACCACATCCTATGTCAATGACCCAAGATGTTGAAGGGGAGAAGTTAATCTCAATCATGTATACACCTAAAGTCGAAGCATCTGACTTCTTCTTGCTTGAGAGGAAAGCCTTGCAATGCTTCCTCTAGTGGCTAGGCTTGCCACAGTAGAAGTAAACTATCTTTCCACCTTTTCCAATGCCACTAATAGGCTTAAAAGCATCATGGGCTTTGGGTTTGGACTTGGGATAGAACCTGGCCTTACCCTTACCCTTACCCTTGGCTTTAGCAACAAGAACCAGCAAAACAGGTTTGGACTTCTTCAAGTCCTGCTCCGCAATCTTCAACATATTTAATAGCTCTAACAAGGACTTCACCATTGTATTCATATTGAAGTTCATTATGAACGATGAATAAGAATCAGGTAGTGACTGTAGAATTATATCCACTTGCAAGTCTGCATCCACACCAAAACCCAAAGTCTCAAACCTCTCTATATACCCAATCATCTTAAGCACATGAGGACCAGCTTGGGCTCCCTTAGTCATTTGGCTCCTAAACAACGCTTTTGACACCTCATACCTCTCATGTCGAGCATTTGTTTCGTAAAGCTCCTTGAGATGTAGAATTATGGCTTGTGCATCCATATTCTCATGCTGCTTTTGCAGCTCAGATGTCATTGATGCTAGCATACTGCATTGAACATTATTAGCATCATTAAGGAACTTTTGATAAGTATCTTAGTTTCCTGAGTGGCATCAGGTTCAGGCTTAGCCAGATAAGGCTTATCAAGGATATACAATTTCTTTTTGGACTTTAGTACAATCTAAAGATTTTGATACCAGTTAAAGAAATTGGATCCATCCAGCCTCTTTTCTTTCTCGATTATCGATCGCAGGTTGGGATTGCTCATTTTAATGAATCTACAAATGCAAAAAAAAAAAAAAAAGTTATTATCATATTTATTATTATTTAACAAGGTCTTTTATTAAATAATTGTTTACACTATTTTTCTCAAGCTAATAACCCTCACTATTAACCTGAGAAAGCCCGTTGGCTTTCCTAGTAGACTAAGATCCCATCTAGCCCATTTCTAACCTTCGCTTTGGCAAACAAGCCAAAATGGGTTGATTAGGCAGGCCAATAAACTTAATTCGCACCAGTTGATAGCTCCAATTACCAACCTCAAATGCGAAATAAGCCAACAAACCAATCACACAATTCAATGGCTGAAGCCTCAAGTGTGATTCTCAGTATCAGTAGAGTGGACACTACATGTCACCATGTACACACAATAAGTGTACTTCTCTACTATGCCTATGGTGTGTTTATCAACCTTTGTTTTGGCGAACAAGAAAAACACACCATTTAAGTCGACCCATCACCATTAAGGAAAACTCCAATGAAATGTAACCTCCCACTGGTAGAAGTGTACATTTCGCTTTGGCGAACAAGGTTCCGACGAACAGTGGTTTGATTAAACCCATGGTGATGGAAGGCTCTTATTAATTTGACTTAGTATACTTTATCGAGGGTTTTTATTTTGTGTGTCTCACCAGTTTTATCTTGTTTAGCATGTTATAGTCATAACATACATGCTTAGCATGCATACTATGGATAAAATAAACATGTTGATGCACAGCCTTAACTAAAACTGATTCCTTGAGCCTAGAGGAATCGGTAGGTCAACCTCGGTTTAATTACAACTTTGGATTCTTCAAGTAATTCGCCTTCCTCTTCCTTCGCTTCTTCTTGTCGAACATTACACAACTTTCAAACTAAAATTACAAATCTAATTTTACATATTTGAAAAGAAACTCAATTACATTTGAAGGAAGTGAGATAAGAGAGAGAACTACAACGGAGATAATAGAGAAAGGCAGGGCACACAGGCCCGATTTAAAATTACATAATCCAAAAATTAAACTAGGTCCAAAGGCTTATGCACATTCACATACAAGAATCATACATCAAACATGCAAAATTAAATTCTGATTTGGTTTTGTAGATTACATATTACCCCTTAATGTTTAGCAATATTTTTTAGGTCCAACAATTTTTTTAAAAAAATTGCAACTTAACCCATTTGATTCAGGCCTCACTCAAATGGGCCTCTAGAACATTCCCAACATGCAGCAACATATATCCAAAAAAATTTGGATTTTTCTTCATCGCAAAAAAATGCGAAAAAGCCCCAAATTCGGCCCATTGCATCTTTGCCTGGGTTGTCCCATTTTTCCAGATTTGGCGTGCATTCTCATGCACATTAGATCAGGCACTTCGCTAAAAAACCAAGTGCTAGTCAAGGCCAAGTGCTGGTGGGAAGTTGGCCACCACGGGGCCACCGCAAGTGGGGCAAACAGGGTCGATATAGTAGCCTTGAAAGGCTACTATCATGCTGCTAGCTGCAGCACCAGCCAAGGCATGCAGCCACCTCCCTCGTACCAAGCAGCGCGCAACAATAGCATTGATGTGCGCTGCAAGACACCCAAATGTCACACGCTTTGCCTGCACTCAGCGCTGCCCTCAGTAGCGTTCATTTGTTCATTGCTGCTCCTCCACGGTAGCTGCTGCCCTTTTAAAAAGGTAACCACCCACAACCCCTTCAGGGCAGATCCGTCCAGCATTGAAATAAAGTTTTATTTGATTTCTTTTAACCTGAAACAAATCAAAACAGATATAACATCTCAACCAAACACGTTAGGCAATTTTCAGATTTTAATCGGCAAATCAAAATCTCAAATACACATCATTGACATACATCAATCGATAATAAAAATAATGTAATAAAATGTAAACGGCTCTTGTACCACTGTAGGTTAACAGATCTCTTGAAGGTAACAAAAATTAAACATTTGTTAAGATCCACTAACACTAACCCATGATCTTTACGTTGATTACATTATTTAATATAAAGACATCAAACCAAATATAATATATCATACCAGCGTTGGAGGCTCCTTCGATTTGATGTTGGATTCGCAAACCACTTCAAAGTAGAAGTGCACTCCCAATAACCACACAAAGAAAGGACAACCATCATTGAGAGATTTCTAGACTAGGTAGATCGCTCAACTCTAAGAACAATTTTTTGCAGAATTTTTCTTTGAGAGAAAAATTCTTTTCTCACAAAAGGGCAATGGAGTTTTTGAGAGAGAGAGAGAGAGGGAGAGAGAGAGGTGGCTAGGGTTTCAATTTTGTAACTCAAAAATCACTTAATGATTTAATTTTTAGTTACACTTAAATAGTGCACACCAAAATCCTATTCTGACTGGGAATAGCCATCAATTCTAATTGGAATAGCAAACAACTTATTCCACAAAGGAATAGACTCCCCTTGCAACCCAAACATGGATTTCAATTCAAATTTAAAAACCAAAATTTGAATTTCATATTAACAATATTAATAATAAATATTAACATTAGATAATATCAATTATATTTAAATTCAATTTAAAAACCAAATTTGAACTTTATATTATCAATATTAATGATAAATATTAATATTAGATAATATCCATTATATTTGAATTCAAATATATATATTTAAATATACATAATCTCACTAATTTGATTTCCATATGAAATTAAATTTAGGCAACAACCTCAGCAAATTTAATTACACTATGAGATTACCAAAATGCTCTTTCATTATAAATGACGAAAATAACCCTCTCACGAATTATGTTCTTAATTTGTCTTGTATGTGTATGACTCGAAGGCTCCTCATGCAACTTGCCATGCAAGTTGCAATAAAGCTTCCATGCCAACTAATATGCCAACTTGCGTGCCAACTAAAGGGAGTTAGCCTATAAATAAGGCCATTCACCCATTTTAGCACATATCTTGTAAAGATACTTAGTACATAGAGTTTTATGTTTTTCTCTACATTTCTCTCTTCCTCTTTATAATTTAAGGTTTCCGATTGAGTTAGGCTGAACTAGTACTCATCCATCATGTAAATTTGAGTTACTAGTGCCGATATATATATATATATATGTGTGTGTGTGTGTGTGTGTGTGTAGAGAGAGAGAGAGAGACACACACACACACACACCCCCATTTTAGCACTGATATTATGACTTTTATCATTTTTAATCTTTGATACTGTGACAAGATCGTTTAAGCAAAAGGAGTTAATCTCTTAAACGATGTGCTTAACATAACATATACATACATATATATATATATATATAGAGAGAGAGAGAGAGAGAGAGAGAGAGAGACACACACACACACACACACACACCCCCATTTTCGCACTGATATTATGACTTTTATCATAAAAAAAAATGAGTGTTTTTAATCTTTGATACTGAGACAAGATCGCTTGAGCGGTAGGAATTAATCTCTTAAACGATGTGCTTAACATAACATATATTTATAGCTCAAACAATCCACCTGCCTATATATTTAATTACAAAATATTAAATCACAAATATGGATAAAATATCTAAGCAGAGTCCATAAAAACTAGGGGATCCATCTCACCATGATAGCACTCAATAGCTAAACACTCCCGGAAGTTGATCATTGTATGGTCGTTCAGGTTGTGCATTGGGGTGTTAGTCATATAGAACTCAAGAAGTTTGAGTGCATATACCCAACAATCAACATTACAATATGAGGAAGACATTACTATTAGAATCGAATTATAAAACAATTGTAGTATGCAAGTTTTATACACAATTTACCTCGCCTTATTATTTGGAAACTTTCTGGTAAGTATATCATCACCCAAATGGTCAAACATCTCGCTCTCTCTCAAAAGCTATGGGAACAATACATAAAGTGGCTCCATTGCAGTCTCCAACTCTTTCTCCCTACAACAACTCCAATTGCAATCAAGAATCTACACCAAACCCTCATTGAGTAGCCATACAACGGTTATCCAATGCATTTGCTTCACGTTCAGGATGCAGAATACCCTTTTCACCCTTGCCCAACTATTGTCATATTTGGGCCTCTTTTCCCTCACATACTGAAACATCCTGCCGTCAATATGAAAATATGCGAGGACACCTTCAAAATCCTTTGTGGGAATTCTTTACTACTTCGCTTCTCTTTTTGCTACTCCATCATTTCCCTTTTTTATTAAGGCCCGATATTGGCTTACTAGGCTCTAGCCGAAAGACACGTCGGTTATGGCACATTGCTGATCATAAATATCAGCATAAATAGTTTGTCCCATCATCATAAGTGTCAAAACCTCGTCAATATGCTGCATCAAATAAAAACAAGACGATAAGTGTCTTGTTCTCTACAAGCGATCTATTTAGAAAAAATAGATCGCTTAAGTGATAACATAATACATTATGGGAAAAATAACTTACTGAGTCGTGAACCTAGCAACTCATTCTTAGCATCTCATCAAACCATTTTCGAGGATAATCCCTAGTCGTGCACTTGATCCATACGTGAATTACTTCCTCATTATAATAAGCATAAAATGATTTTTTTTTTTCTCGACTATTGGCTTGAATAAATTGACCTTTAACTCCTTCCCATTTTCACCACTTCCACCAACTTCCTCTTCAACTTCCCCACCTCCACAAGCTTTCTCCTTATCATCCTCTCCAACTTCCTCTTTATTGGAGTAAATTGAGAATTATGAATGTGATCCGGGATCTTAACCCATTTAATGCGGCATTTTTTCATTTTTGAACCCATTTCGATTTCT